GCTTGATATGCCTCAAAAATTTAATAGCGATCTGAGGTTATCAACGTCCATCACTAATCAACCATTTAATCAGAGTACTCACGCGTGTCGTAGAACTTCCACGTTATCAAAGATTTTACAAACCACCGATGATGATCAGCTGAATTCAAAGAGATTGAGATTTGACAGGAGGGAGGATGGGAATAGAGATAATGAAGATGGTGATAGTAGTGGTAGTTGCAGTAATGGTTGTCAAGAGAGGTGAGTGTTACCCTCTTTATAAAAGGCAATGAATGAGTTCTTGTTGTTTTATTTTGGGAGTGGAATTAGAAAAAAAATATATATTACTACTCTATATACTCTATTTACTCTATTCCCCTCCCTCCTGTTGATCTTTCCGGGAGTTGGATGCTTGATCTTGCCATGAACGCATTCCATTATTATTATTATTATTATTATTATCATCATGCCTTTTGTCTTTTTTTTTTTTTTTTTTTTCTTTGTATGAGTTATTTAATTTTTTTATTTAATTTAATTTCATAAAATGATTCTAACATAAATTTTTTCAATCAAAAAAATTATGTATACGCATTGAAAATTCCTGATCGAATAAATCAATCTTGCCGATAGTGGTATCAGTCTTTCTCCACTTCGTATTGCACCTATTTCCAACCCAATGAGTACATCATCCAATGGTTCACCTGTAACTACTAATAGTAGTGATACTGGTAGTATGTTGGGTGAACAAGTCCCGCAACAACAAATTTTACGACAAAACAAAGGGCTTAGGCATTTCAGTAAACAAGTTTGTGATAAAGTGGAACTTAAGGGCGTTACTACTTATAATGAGGTAAGTTTTTGAAAAATAATTAAGGATGGTTTAACGTTATTTATAAACTTATAATAAAAAGTTTGTGAATAAGAAAATATGCAAATATTACACGTATTTTTGGGAGTCATCTGTTACTTGACGTAAAATTTTATTTATTTATTTATTTCATGTGGAAAATATGATGTACTTATGCATATAACATTATTAATTATTCGATGATTTTTTTTTGTACTGCCTTCCATGCATTAGGTTGCAGATGAATTGTCTGAAGACTTTGCAGCTCATATGCAAGAGCATGGTGGGGTGGGTAACACCTAGAAATATTATCTTTACAACGCGATTTTTTTTATAAAAAAAATTTACCTTATTTTTATAACTATTTATAGCAAAAAGTGGATCAAAAAAATATACGTCGTAGAGTGTATGACGCACTGAATGTATTAATGGCAATGGATATTATTGCGAAAGATAAGAAAGAGATCAGATGGTTGGGATTACCAGGTCAAAAAAATAACACGAATTTGGCTTCATCGTCTGCGACGACAGAGGCCGAAATTGAAAGGCAAAAATCTGAAATTAGAATTTTAGAGGTATTTAAATTGATTATTACGCGTGATTTCTTGTTTAACTGATCATAAAGAATTTTTATTTATAATTTATTTTTTTTTTTTTATAATTAAAATAATTAATGTTATCTAGCAACAAAACCGGCGCTTGAGTAAACAAGTGGATGAGGCTAAAGTTGCATTCCAATATAAAATAGCTAGTGTAAGTTAATAAAATGAATCATATACATACATATTATTATATGTTATTATTAATAATTATGTTATTAAATTTTATTATTAATAAATATTATTGTTATATTTAGCACCTTCACATTCGCAATCTTGTGAAGAGGAACAAGCAACGTCATGATCCATATAAAGTTACGAACAAAGTAAAATCTGAAAAATTATATCTTCCTTTCAAATTGATACGTTGTCCACGAGGAACCGTCTTTAGCAATCAAACCGGAGAAGACGGGTAATTTGATAATTTTTTAGATATTTGCGAGAACACATTGTTACGTATTACACATGCTAACATTACTCTAATACATGTGAAAATATAGTGTTTCTCAAATCCTTTCGTTCCAACCCCACCAACCCAGCATACTCGAAGATGTGCATATCCTTCAATATATTGGAATGGATAAAATCACGCCTGAAGATATGCAACAATGGGTTAGCCCTGAACATTTAAAATGGATTATCACGAAACAGGGTGAAGACGGTGATTACCGCATAAGCTATGAACAGTGACAAAATCATCAAAAAATTAAGCTTTTTCGTGAACACTTCTTTTTTTTTTCTTTTTTTTTTTTAAAAAAAAAAAAAAACTATAAGCATCCGAGCATTTCTTTTTTCTCCTTTACTTCTTTTTGGGAATAAGCTAAATTTAAAAAACAATATGCTTCAAATCAACGCGAATGGACATTTGAATAAAACTTTTAATTTGAACATTCCTTTTTTTTTTTTCTTTAATATTTAAAGTCTTAAAATCTTTAGTAATATTATTATAAAAAATGTATGACAACGTGATATAGAAATTCCCTGCATAAAAAATAATAATTGCGTGAGAAATTTGGGTTAAACTATAACAATGATAGGAAGCTATAAATTGGGCGGGAAACCCTTTAAACAATTAACCATATTAGGGTGTTAAGGTAGATGGTAGTTTCCAAAATGATATACTTGATGTTGGCGGGCGTTTTACCCCACAATTGACGTCGATCATGGGTACAGTTATTGATAAATGACACATGGTGAGAAAAGAGTAAGGAATTAGCACACGTTATCGTGATAAAAAGTGATATTTGTAAAAAAAAAAAAAAGTAGATAGAAATTCTATGCACCATTCATCGTCGTTCATCGCCGTTCATCGCCGTTCATCATCGTTTATCAGGGATATGTAATTCTTAACCAAAGAAGCCTGTTGTTACACTAAAACTAAATTTACCGCGAAAAAACAACTGTTCAAGGAAATTCCCATCGATTAAAAATAGGATACACAAGGGTATAACAAGATATAGTGCGCATAAATTGCGACATTGAATGACATTGAACCACGTGATTCATTGATACGTGGAAAAGCTACTAAGGTCATGCATGTATTCTTGATTAACGCTTGAAATATAAACACATGTACGGATCATTAAAAACTTCTAAATTCTAAAATTCTACAAATATATTACGTATTATATGTGCGCATTTTCTGCATTTTGTATCGCACATACGTAGAACTCAAGATTGGCGTACTGAATAAAATCTTCAGTAAAAATAGGCGGGAAACTTTATATCGTATTACATTGATTACATGAATACTTCTTGTAATGTGGCGAGATGTTAAATCAAATGACATTATATTTGTTACACCACACCTTGTGTATATAAAAACCTTAAAAATTCTATTAAACTTATTTATATTAAAAAAATAACTGATAATAACTGATAACTGATGTACATACACAAGTAACATGAGTACGTATGTATGTACATTAAGTACAATATGTATTTACATATTATTTATATAGTTTATTTATTGTTTTTTTTTTTTTTTTTTTTTTTTTTTTTTACGTAAGATGGTAGCGTTGAACGACTATTAAAGAAACACACACGATTATAAAAAAAAGTACGAATGAATGCTCATTTCATAAATAAAGTTTTAAATCATTTAAAGTGTGAAACTTTCGTGAAACAGCTTTCTTGAATTTAATCTTGGTTCCTTGGTTCCCTGGTTCTTTGACAAGATAAGGTTTGTATACAATGTCGTATCATATATGTAACACTAATAAGATTTAGATTCATTATAATATGCACATTTAAATATATAGTTAATTTATGTTTGTCATTGATCGAGTTTATAGATTACAATAAGAAAAAAAAAACATCAAAAATATGATATATAAAAATATTTGGCCTTTCATAAATGTTGTATGACGTGTCTAAAATTTTTTTAACTTTATATCATGTGATACTCATGTGGTATTAATTTACTCAAATGCTGAAATGGGTTCGATTATTGGTAGATTTGTTTGTACGCTCTCTGGCTAAATATTTGCTTCGTTGGAAAACTTTTTTGGATTCAATTTAAACTCCGTACGTAATTATTAAACTTTGTTTGGTGATTGGTTTAATTTGTTTAAATGCACCTATCAGTTTGTTGTTTGTTGATAAACAAAATTTTTAATTAATTACCGTGAATTCTCTTTACAATAAGACTTTTTTAAATCGCGAGGTATAATGTCAGAATGATTTGCTGTATGCTTATCAATATTCTGTACGTAATGTACACATTAGGAATTCAGGATTTAAGAACATGCAATAGAAATTGATTTCTTTCTCGTACTACTTCATATACTTATTAGAATGATAAAAACCTACATGCCCAAGAGTGCATGCATTTTCTTAAAGTTACAGCATCACGATGACTATTACGTAATTCATTGGCGTGGTCTGGACCAATTATCTCAATTAAGTCGGAAATTATCTAGATTTCGAAATTTATACGCATTATCCATCTAATAATTGCTAATAAAAAATTACTAAATATCGATACTTTTCGCAGTGCTTTCTCAATATTGGACTAATAAGAATTTTGTGCAAATTAAGGCCCAAAATTTTGCCGTAAAGTTTATTCAGCCGTGACACTAACCAAAGAAAAAAAAAACCAAGTTCCTCTTTCGTACGTATACAATGTGAATGGTTATGTAAAGTATTGGTAGTTGTAATACACTGCGCCGCATCTCTTAAACTTTAATAGAAATCAAAATAATCAATAAGCAATTGGCAATTAACTATTAGCAGTTTCACAGAGCAAACTTAGAAATTCGAAAGACTTTTATAAGACTATTTTAAAAGTGGTCCAAAAATATTCTTAATAGAAATAAAATAAGCAATGCTATGAAATCAAAAAACTTTTCTTAAAAATCACGTGGTGGACCTAATATATAAAGTTATTATTTAAGGTTGTTCGAGAATGGGCTGAACTTTGAAAGGTATTACATTAATAAATAATAAATAACATATTGTCCTGTTTATTTAATAAAAAAAAATAAAATAAAATAAAAATAATAAAAGTAATTTGGCATGTAACTATATAAAAAAAAAAAAAATTACTATATCGATAATTGAAATCATGTATTTCATCATTCTTGTATCTTTTTTTTGTCAGACGCTAAACCTTCGCCATTCAAGAAATCAAATGTATTCAAATTTGATTGTATTGCTTGATATAAATGATATGGCACAAGTATCTTTTTTATTCGTTGCCGATATGAATTGTAACGACTGTCAAGCGCTGAGCTACTAAACCAATTGATTTCAGGTGTGAATGGATCATCTAGTTGTTCAGACTTATATACATTTATGGCTTTATTAACCAAATCCTTCAAGAATATCTTGGTCAACTAAAATAAAAATCAATTTAGGCTAAATGAATATGTAACAAATAAAAAAAAATACTTATAGTACATACTTGGAATATCAAATTTCCTGTTTCCAAGCGTTGCTGTATAGCAACATTAATGTCACCATTCTCCACTTCAATTTTCCCATCATATTTGATTAATTTGGTAGCAACTACGCCATCTAATTTTAATTGACCTACTACGTCCCATATCCAATCAATGCCCTGCGGATTAAACGTGTACCAATCCTTAAGCTCACCCATATTTTTGACCAGTTCAACTGATATTCCATTATTGCTCAAATTGCTATCCCCATTACATGTATTTATAGATTCATTACCTACAGTTTAATTAGAATTTCTTTAAATAATTGCTATTAATTAAAAGGCATCTAATCTAATAATAAAAATCCAATTAAAATTACCTGTTAAAACTTTATCTTGATATAGCTCATCTAAGAAATCTTGTACCAATGTGAGACTACATAATTTAGTTTTTTTAGTCTCTAAAAAATGTGGCCTTCGTTTACATTTGTAGGGAGAAATTGGAACACTAATGCTTTTAGATGTACTAGTGTTAATTTCGTGCCAAGATTCTGGGCAGCCACAACATTTACACCATGTTACTTGAAAACCTGTTATTGAAGAGAAATTACCCCGTTTAAGTTCGACTGTCGATTTGAGACTGTCTATATTAATATTCGAGTTCATGGGTTCGTTATGTTCATTATCTACAGGTGTATGCCCCTTATCCCGACACCAAAAAGTTACTTGTTTTGTGGTCAGAGATGCTGCAAATGACTGAACTCGTAAATCATCCACAGTTCGTGATAATGATAGAACCAATAAACGTATTAATCGAGCTCTGTGCCATTCCGTTACTTTACGTCGCTCAATACTCCAATTAAGGAATACACGTGACGATTTTGCTGTTACGTAAGGAAGAGTAGATGAACGCGCTGATGAAGGAGTAATCAAAGGATAATTTTTAACCGCTTCATTTAATAGCGGTTCTAAAGCATTCATAGTTTCAGAATCAAGTCTATCATCGCTTTTTTCTTTCTGTAATAATTCCTTAGCGTCAGTTTCAATTAAAGCATTGTTTGTTTCCAATATGTCTTGTTTAGGAATATCTTGAACTATATTTATTGTATGGTTAATAGGTCCTTCTGTTCTTGGGTCAATGAATTGAGTATTTCTGTCCAATTCAAGATCAAATGCACGTTCATTGCCAAGTTGTTGCTTCCCATTATGAATATTGTCAAGCTGATATAAATATAGATCTATTTAAGTTTATATTCATATATTCATAATCTGATATACAAATAAATAAACATAGTACCTTAAGATTATGAATTAGATCAACCGGCTTGTTTTTATTATCTACAAATATTATTTGTATTCGTATTGGAAATTCGCCCCATCCAAATCTGGTGAGCTGAAAAGGTGGTTCAGTTACATCAACTACATCTAATGGTCGGTAACTTGGATGAAGGAAAAAGCGAACTCTCCGTATAAATGGAGTAATATTCAAATCGTGTGGTGGTCCAGTAACATAAACCATCCATTTGTGCGTATACTTTCTAAGACTTGAATCCCTTTTTTCTGGAGTAATCCATTTTGAAACATTTCCAACAACAATACGTCGCTTAATGTAAAATCGAGATCCATGATCAATGGGATCAAAAACACTCGTACATGCTGGTATTGTATAAGTAGCAGAGATTGTAGTGACCTCTTGCATGGTCGTGTTCGAAGTACATGTCGCCAGTGAATCGCCAGAGGTGACCAATTCATCATTTGGTTCAGCATCCATATCATCTTCATTGTCTAAGTGTATAGTTGGAACATTTGTGTTTATCTTTGTAATTTCAGATTTATCTTCTTGCTGCTTCCCCAACGATTGATTATCCGTGTTTATATCATTATTTGTTAATGAATCAATAACCATAGGGGAAGTAGAATCAACATTCGTTACAGATTCTTTAGAAAGCTGTCCTTTTGTTTCTAATTCTTTCGGTGAACTCGTCACAAATTTGTTGTTATCACATATCATCGTATTTGGATAAGGTGTTTTAGATTTATACAAAGGTGAAGAATCTACGTCAGTTGTAGTTGTGCCCGTATCACCTTCATCAATATCTGACGAATAATCCGAATCCGTTCCATCAGGAGAACCTAACATTGGATGATCTTCCGATATCTTTGTAATGTGATCAGGTATGTTACATAATAAAGATGGTGAATTTTCTGAATAGGATGTTATTTCATTGTTACTAGGTAATTTCTGAGCTAGTGGAACTTCGTTAGAATCGTTAATTTCAGCTCCATTAGATAACTCATCCAATCCAAGATCAATTTCTTCTTCAAATACTTTGATAGTTGGCTATTTGTTATAATTCTAATATTTTAATAACGGTGTCAAAAAGATTAAAGAAGCAGAAATTGATTTAGGAATATGGCATACCCTATTTTCGCTATTTTTTCCGTCATTAAAATCCCTTTTCACAATTAATATTTACAAGAATTTACCATTACAAAATAATATCTTAATAAAACACAAACCTTGCGCGACTTGTCGATAGATTTGATTTACCCAATATTGTACGAAGAGATGGTGGCCTAGTGATAATTCTTGATCTAGCTGGATGCCCTGGTGGTATTAAACTCTCATCCTATATAAACTAGATATTATGAATGGAGAGTCTAATAATTTCGGTAACTTACATTTTAAGATAAATTAATAAATGATTACTACCACTGGAGTGCCACATTTTAAAAGAGCTTCCTCATGATTAGGAAATTCGATCCTATGTGACAAACGACAGTGATTGAGAAATCCTTGCACGTTGATGAATTTTGAACGATGACATTTTGGACATGCCAATCTATACGAAAATTTTTAGCTATTTAGTTCTATGTACCAATGTAAGATATATAGAATTAAAAAAAAAAGACTATAAGTAACCTCACGAAAGTTCCATCATTCCTACGTGAGTATAGATCTTTACATGGATCGTAATAAAAATAATCATTATCTCTGGTAGAATAAATTTTACGCGTTGAATGACGCGTCGGAGTCAACGAAGCAACTCCTAAATTTTCACAAGTACTGGCATTAAGTGTCGAAGTTCGGTGCGAACTTGAAGAATTTGAAGAATTTGAAGGAGCTAAGGAATAAATATTAGAAAACGAATTTGAATACCTCACTAAGAGTCATTTAATAGTTGCTTACGTTCTAAAATGCAATGTCTCAAGGTTTCAAGATATATTTCGGATTTTTTCAATTCTTCTTTTATTTTCTGTAATTCACGTTGTCTTAACAAAATTTCTAGATCAAACTGTGCGTCGATAACTCTCATTGCTTTTTTTCGCGTTTCCTCATCTAAAATATATTTCATTAATTTCACGCAGGTAACTAAAATTTACTTTCTGCCTATATACCTCTTGGGATTGGTCGACGGGAGCATGCTACATTTTGGTTAATACCTGAGGTGGCCATGATTCAGAAGCAGTTTGATCAGTAACACTTGCTACTTTTTTGTTGACTTAAAGCAAATTTAACTTTTTTTCTCGTCGAAAAATTTTTTATGATAATCTTCATCTAAAGAATTTACTAATTCTCCCGCACTTTCTATTGGATGAGATTATTCGCGCTTATTTTACATATCACTTTCTTTTTTTAAAATGTGATATCTGAGTTAAGGTTTGGTGGGCGAAATTGTCTTATTTTCGTGTTACATATCCGAGTATTGTTATTTATTTATTGTAGAAACGCCAGCGTTGCCAATAATCGAGGTAGCAGTCATATGATCTTCCGATCCATGACTACAGTCTCGGATATTGCCAAATTTGGATGATGCAGATCACACCCTTTTTTGTACAATTAGAAAATTCTTGGTACTTCTATTTAAGTCTATAGCTATTCTATACTAATCTATAGGGCTAAATTTATACCAATCATTATTTGTTTTTTGATTTGGTAAACAACCACCTTATAAAGCCCCTGGGATCATGATGGATCTCTAGACTATGTATCTATAAGGTGGCATCCATAATTTATGTTAAACTAGTATTGTATTGTATAGAAATAGAAAACTTGATAATAATATCATATAGTATTATTTTTGTATTATCTTTAATATTTCTATAACAATACTGGTTTAATATAAATTATAGATACTGCCAGCATGTAGAGTTGGAGGCATGGCAAATTTTTGGGGCATGCCTTTGTAAAGAGTATGCCTCTCTATGCCCTGGGCATGCTCCTCTGGATATAAAAGGGATCCAATTAACTCACTGACAATTACTAACAAGTTTATTTCACCAAAGCTTATTTTATAGACAAAAGTAATTCTGGCCAATATCCTTAGGGTTATAAAAAAAAACTTGTTGGTAAAATGAGCTTCAGTAACTAAACTGTTAGTAAAATAAACTTGTCAGTAAATAATTATCAATGAAATAATATGGATAATAAAAGTATATATGTACTATATTAAGATATATTTATATTCTAATTGGTTAATTACTGAAATAGCCAATCATATATTAGCTATAGATCACATGACAGGGGCATGCCTCCAACCTCCATGCCTCCAACCCTACCAGCATGACAGAAATTCGTTTTGATTGGTTGTCGATCCAGATCATCAAATTGACCATGATTGGTTGCAATTTCACGAG